AATAGTATTTTCTATCGATTCTACAAACATTTGACTTATATCCTCATCCTCTGATTTGACTGTATATTCATATAATCTTGGTCTATATATACTATCATCATAACATTTGACCATATAACAATAACCAGATGGTCTATGCTTTTGATACTGTTGAGTATATGATTTTTTATCATTTGGTTGACATGTATTGATACTCTCTGWGAAGCATTCAAAATCTGCATAAATGACAAATGGTACCCGCATAGAGTGATTATAATTATTAAACGATATTGTCGATCCCTTTTTCGGTAATGTAATTTTCACTGCATCATGATCCTTACAGTATTCAATATGCTTATCTAAAGCCTTTTTCGTTTTGAATGAGTTGAGACACCTTTCACAATAGTATCGACTATGACCGTTATCATTCGTTTGCGAATTAATTAATCTCGACATACTTTTTATCCAACAAAAATGATTAGTCTTTTCATTCGATATTAATAGAAGGTTTATCGTTCGTTCTCTATTTTCATTTTCACTTATTTTAATCGGATATACTTCTTTATTCTCTTCATAACTGTATACATTAATTGCATATTTAGAGTTATTCTTTTCGAAGACTCCTATCTTATCTATTTGAACAGGGAATTCAATATCATCCCAACATAGTTTTTCACTATTATTTCTAAGAGCTTTAGTTATTCTTTCATTATCCCTTTTTTCAGTAAATAATGCTCTTGTAACTGACCACTTGAAGCATTGGTTATCTTTATTTTTAGGATTAATAATAGCCTCTTTACTCTTCAATTTTCCTGGTAATGGAATATAAGATTTTGCTGTTATAGGTTTATATTTATCTATATGAATATCTAAATTCTCCACTTTATTGAACACCCAACCTGATCCACTATCTTGGAATTTACTAACCTTTTCTAATATATCACCTGTTAATGTATTATAAACATCTTCTATATCCGTAGCTTGTGTAATAATAACTATATTACTATGAAAATATCCAAATGTGTATACATCCTCTTTATGCTCCCTTTTATGAAATACACACTCTAGTACTAATTTCATTTTTATTGGTTTTTGCTGTTTTTCAACCGTTCTAATAACTATGTTCTTATACTTTCCTATAAATGATTTAGGACCGATCTTTTTCTCACCTTTGATTCTGTAAGATGATAAGAAACCCTTCATTGCTGACTCTTTCTTGTATGCAACATTCATTTCCTTTTGTACATTCCCTGTATTTTTCAGACTTTTATAAATATTATTAACCTCGTTTTTCAAATCATCCAAACGTTTATTGGTTGGTTTCTTAACATCTGGTGGGATATATGATATAATCCAGTCAGCAAACGTATTTAATTGCTTCTGAACACTGTCTGCAGCTGCTTTGATCATACTTTGGTTAGATGTGCTTGTAGCTTTCACTGGTTTTAAAATTGGTACATCAATTTCTGGAACTGGTCGCTCCATTATACTATTTGACATATTATTATTTGACATATTATTATTAATAGTCTTATCCTTATATCTATTTTCCGAACGCATTTTCATTTTCTTTATAATATACTATATAATCATTTCTTTAAGCCTCTTTCATATATAATTTTTTAACCTAGCATTGGAACCCTAGCATAGGAAACCTAGGATGTGAACCTAGCATAGGAAACCTAGGATGAAAAAGACATTTGAAAAAAATCTCAAATCAAGCGTAGTGAACCTAGGATTAAAATCTATGTTCAAATATGTTTCTAGTATATCAACAATAGGGTCGATTAATTACTTCGTAATTACCAATCTCTCGATCTATCGAAYATCAAATCATCTCCGCAAATGCTCTAATGATAAAAYCATATTGACTAATATTATCTTCAATAATATTAAAAACATTAATAAGGCAACCATCGGAGCTCCACTCCTCTTCCCACCAAGTTGCCTTGGAATTTTTAACACTCCTCCATCCCCTGCTCACCTGCGGCTGCGCTGCCGAGGAGCTAAATTCCAGCTTCGCTTGGTTACCCATTTTTTATTTCATTAATAATATCTAGGCAATATTTCAATCGGATGATATCAAGCCTAAAAACCAACTGCAAAATCAAAACATATATCCAAAGGCTAAATTGCGTCCGAATCGGCCAGTGCCTACTACTGACCCTCAGGAGCTATGACTTGACAGTTTTTGGAAAAAACTAATCTCTCGACTCTTGATCACAACATTGACCCTCAGGAGCTATGACTTGACAGTTTTTGGAAAAAACTAATCTCTCGACTCTTGATCACAACATTGACCCTCAGGAGCTATGACTTGACAGTTTTTGGAAAAAACTAATCTCTCGACTCTTGATGGGTCCTCTTTATGAAATTTCTCTCTTGTAACATTATGGGGGCCTGGATGTACAATTCCTGCAGGAAATCCACTACAAATACTACAACTGTCAAGAAAACTAGTCATAAGGTGTAATTGTGCTGGTAGTGTTAGACCATTGAGCTGCTTTGCTATGTTCAGCGTAGAATGGGKAAGTCTAAACCCTTGGCTCGTTGGCTCGTTATGTCCAACCTGTGACTATTTTCTTGGGATGTAACTGCAATCTCGGTACAACATCGCATACCATTCAAGAACCAAGGTTCGTTCCGTATGAGGGTAAACGAATTTCCGTCGCCGCAAAGCTTTTGCCATTTAGGGTCCAAGTGAAGTTCGTAATCCTTGGGGAATTTCCTCGTCGATAAATTCACATACCCTTTGATTCGACGCTCACCTCTCTTTCCCTTCGTTGATTGCTTCACGCCAAGATTTCCCCATAGCTCGATAACGATCCGTCCAATACTTCGACGCGATGTGTTTAGGGTTAAATTTTCCTTCTCCATTTCCATTATTTTCACTATGTCGTCCATTGACGTAAACTCGTCTTCTTTGTATTCATAGTTTTTGAATATGCTAAAAGAAAGCGATGATTTTAAAAGTGTTACTACGTACAGTAGCAATTCAGATTGATTTCTCAATTTAAAAATTAGTACAACGGTCGACCGTTAAAAACACTCACCATAATTTCGAAGAAAGACTATATCCAAATCCGCATTT